GTAGTGTGTTGTCAAGATGGATCTTGAGGCAAAGAAGAATTGGGGATTTTTGTGTATTTAAAGCTTTCTGGGGGCACCTGGGTGGCTCAGTGGGTTAAGCGTCTAACTTCGGCTCACGTCACGATCTCACGGTTCACAGCCTCAAGCCCCGCATCAGGCTCTGTGCTGACAGCTCAGAGCCTGGAACTTGCTTTGGATTCTGTGTCTCCCTCTCTCTGCCCCTCCCCCACTCATGCTCGCTCTCTCACTCCTCTCTCTCTCTCTCTCTCTCTCTCTGAGAAATAAACATTAAAAAAATAAATAAAAACTAAAGCTTTCTGGCACTTTTTTTTTTTAAGGTTTACTTACTTTGAGAGAGTGAGAGATCACCACTGGGGGAGGGGCAGAGAGAGAATTCTAACACATCCTACACAATCAGCACAGAGCCCGATGTGGGGCTCGAACTCACAAACAGATAATGCATGACCTGAGCCATAATCACTTAACTGAGCCACCCAGGCGCTCCTCTGGGACTGCTCTTTAAAATTATTTTTATTCTTATTATTCACGTATTTATCTTGAGTGAGAGTGCACATGCACAAGCAAGGGAGGGGCAGACTTAAGCAGGCTCCGCGCCCAGCGTGGAGTCCAGCTTGGGGTTCAGTCTCAAAACCATGAGATCACAGCCTGAGCCAAAATCAAGTTGGACCCTTAACCACTGAGCTGCCCGGGCCGCCCTGGGACTTTTTTTTTTTTTCTCTAGATGTTTATTTTTGAGAGGGAGAGACAGAGGGCAAGTGGGGAAGGGGCAGAGAGGGACACAGAATCCAAAGCAGGCTCCAGTCTCCAAGCTGTTGGCACAGAGTCTGACGTAGGGCTCGAACTCATGGACCACGAGATCATGACCTGAACTGAAGTCGGCCACTTAACTGACTGAGCTGCCCAGGCAGCCTAGGATTGTTTTGTTTGTTTGTTTGTTTTTTTTAAAGGAGATCTAAGGCTGACTTGAATGGAAAAGGAAGCAGAGCTAGAGGTTTCTAAAAACAGTTCGTCACTGGTGGGCCGCCAAGTCAAATCTGTTTCATCCTATGTGGAAATACTGCATTGCTTTGGTAACTCTGAGGGCCCAGAAGAGAGTTGAGTTCTGTTGTAAACCTGGTTTGGTGTAAACTTGGCTTCAGATTCTTGCCAGAATCGAACTACAGGATATACAGTTCTTTAATTTTTGTGGTTTTTTGCTTCCCCACATCCTTGCAGGCACTGTGTCGGGCAGAGGATGAAGAGGATATCCGTGCGGCCACCCAGGCCAAAGCTGAACAGGTGGCTGAGCTTGCAGAATTCAATGAGAATGATGGATTTCCTGCTGGTGACGGAGAGGAGGCCGGCCGGCCTGGGGCTGAGGATGAAGAGATGTCCCGGGCTGAGCAGGAAATTGCTGCCCTTGTAGAACAGGTCAGTGTCGGACCCACTAGTTCTTACCCTCACCCTTCTCAGCTTCTTCCTCTGGACCTTGTGATCCTCCTCCTATCTTCCCTGGTGAAAATAATCAAGGGTGATGAGCCCTGGTTGCCAAGTCCCTATGTTCATCACTGCTTCTCCTTCCCACAGCTGACCCCCATTGAGCGTTATGCCATGAAATTCCTGGAAGCCTCACTGGAGGAGGTGAGCCGAGAGGAGCTCAAGCAGGCAGAAGTGAGTATATCTAGGGGGTGAGGATAGAAGTGGGAAGTTGCTTCTTTCTAACCAGTCCCAGTCTGCTTGCCTCCCTCTGACCACCCACTGTTCGGGCTCTGTTGTTGGTAGGAGCAAGTGGAAGCTGCCCGCAAGGACCTGGACCAAGCCAAGGAGGAGGTGTTCCGCCTACCCCAAGAGGAGGAGGAGGGGCCAGGGGCTGGGGATGAGGTTTCCTGTGGGACTGGTGGAGGCAGTCACCGGCGCAGTAAGAAGGCCAAGGCCCCTGAAAGGCCAGGGACTCGCGTCAGTGAACGTCTTCGTGGAGCCCGGGCTGAGACTCAAGGGGCAAACCACACTCCTGTCACATCCACCCATCATACCCGCAGCACTTCCACACCCCCACGCTGCAGCCCTGCCAGGGAGAGAGTTCCCCGGCCAGCACCTAGGCCTCGACCCACTCCAGCTTCAGCTCCTGCTGTAATTCCTGCCCCAATCCCTGTTCCAATCCCTGCCCCAATCCCCATTTCAGCCCCAAATCCAATAACCATGCTTCCTGTTCATATCTTGCCTTCTCCTCCACTTCCCCCTTCACAGATTCCTCCTTCTTGTTCTTCTGCCTGTACCCCTCCTCCTGCCTGTACACCTCCGCCAGCTCATACTCCACCTCCAGCCCAAACCTCTCTCTCAACTCCTTCTTCCCCTCTCCTGCTTGGTCTACCTTCTGTGCCCGTCTCCCCCCCAGTCACCAACCTCCCCTTGGGCTTGGGGCCTGAGACAGAACTGTGTGCACAAGCATTGGCATCCACCGAGTCCCCGGAGCTGGCTGATATGGCCAGTTCCGAGACTTCCCCACTTATTCTTGTGCCCCCTAAGGATCTGTTGCCAGTTGCTGTTGAGATCCTGCCTATGTCAGAGAAGAACCTTTCTCTCGCCTCTTCTGCACCTAGCCCAACCCTGGAGGCTGACAGCGTCCCCAACGGTCAAGAGCAGGAAGTGCCAGAGCCTGCTGAGGGGACCATCCTCACAGTGCTGCCCAATGGTGAGGAGGTGCCCTCCTGTCTGAGTGAGAGCAATGGGCTGGAGCTCCCACCTTCAGCAGCATCTGATGAGCTACTTCAGGAGCCGTTGGAGGCTGACAAGAGCTCAGAAGAGCTGGTGGAGGCCCAGACCCCAACCTCCAGCCCAGAGAAGCCACAGGAACTTGTTCCAGCAGAGGTCACAGCCCCATCAACCTCATCTTCCGCCACCTCCTCACCTGAGAGTCCTTCACCTGCCCGGCCCCCTCGGCGTCGCACCAGTGCTGATGTAGAAATTAGGGGTCAGGGGGCTGGTCGGCCAGGGCAGCCTCCAGGCCCCAAAGTGCTTCGCAAGCTGCCGGGACGGCTAGTGACTGTGGTAGAGGAAAAGGAACTGGTGAGGCGACGGCGACAGCAGCGGGGAACTGCCAGCACCCTAGTGCCTGGGGTCTCTGAGACTGGTACCAGCCCGGGAAGCCCATCTGCCCGCAGCATGTCGGGGCCAGAATCCTCACCTCCCACCGGTGGGCCCTGTGAAGCTGCTCCCCCATCCACACTGCCCACCCCAACCCAGCAACCCTTCATAGCTCGCCGTCGCATTGAGCTGGGGGTGACTGGTGGGGGCAGCCCAGAGAACGGAGAAGGGGCACTTCTTGCCATCACCCCTCCTGCTGTGAAACGTCGGAGGGGGAGGCCCCCCAAGAAGAACAGGTCTCCAGCAGATGCTGGGCGAGGGGTGGATGAGGTACCTTCATCCACCTCTAAGGGAAAAACCAATGGGGCTGACCCAGTCCCTGGGGCTGAGACCCTTATTGTTGCGGAGCCTGTCCTGGGACCCCAGCCTAGTCCTGGGTCCCAGCCTCTTGGACCCCAGCCAATTCACAGACCCGAGCCCATCATCCTATCACCTGTGGAGAAAAGAAGGCGTGGGCGGCCCCCTAAGGCACGAGATTTGCCCATTCCTGGGACCATTTCCTCTCCAGGGGATGGCAACTTAGAGAGCCGGACACAGCCACTCCCGCTACCACCTCCCCTGCCACCACTCCCACCACTCCTAGCCTGTCCCACTGCTACTGTCGCCAACACTGTCACCAATCTCACCATTTCAACATCCCCACCCAAGCGGAAACGGGGTCGACCTCCCAAGAATCCACCATCACCTCGGCCCAGCCAGCTCCCTGTCTTGGACCGTGACAGCTCTTCTGTCCTCGAGAGCTGTGGATTGGGGAGGCGGCGGCAACCCCAGGGCCAGGGGGAGAGTGAGGGTAGTTCCTCTGATGAGGACGGAAGCCGCCCCCTCACCCGCCTGGCCCGCTTGCGGCTTGAAGCAGAGGGAATGCGGGGGCGAAAGAGTGAAGGGTCCATGGTGGTGGCTGTAATTCAGGATGACCTGGATTTAGCAGATAGTGGGCCAGGCGGGTTAGAATTGACACCTCCTGTGGTCTCGTTAGCTCCAAAACTGCGCTCTACCCGGCTGCGTCCAGGGTCTCTAGTTCCCCCACTAGAGACTGAGAAGGTGCCTCGCAAACGGGCAGGGGCCCCAGTTGGCGGGGGCCCTGGGCTGGCAAAGCGGGGCCGCCTACAGCCCCCGAGTCCCTTGGGACCTGAGGGTTCTGTAGAGGAGTCTGAGGCTGAAGCCTCAGGCGAGGAAGAGGAAGGGGATGGGACCCTACGTCGCCGGCCTGGCCCCCGTCGACTTGGTGGGGCCACCAACCAAGGGGACCAGCGTATCCTGCGCAGCAGTGCCCCCTCCCACCTGGCTGGCCCTACCGTTAGTCACAGAGGCCGCAAGGCCAAGACGTGAGTGGGCTGCCCCTCCACCTGGGCTTTCCGCCATGGCCCCTCTCCCTCCACAACCAGGCCTGACTCTGTTAACCACTACTTGAAGTCTTTTGAGGGGGAAAGCCTCCAGGGAGACATAGGGGCCTTCTCCCTTCTTTCCACCAAAGTAGGGGGTAGGCAACTGGTTGTCATGGAAACGGGGCTCTTCATATACCCCCTTCCCTTCCACCCCACAAGGCTGGGCAGTGTTAAGGGTGGCAAGATAGTCTCTGTCCCCACCCCCTTGTACTTGATTCCCCAGCTATCTTTCACAGCCCCCACCTTTAGGGGAAGGGGGAGGGGCTTCTTCTCTACCATGAGTTTTTTTTTTTTTTTTTTTTTTTTTTTTAAGAAGAAAAAATAATAAACTTAGTTTCTGTATGAGCATCCGCGTAAGGAGGCTTCTGATTTTCTGGTCTGGTGGAGGGTTGGGTGGGAACTTGGGCATCGTTTTCCTCCTCTCTCTTGTTCTTGCCAAAACCCTAGTACCTGATCTCTAACCCAGAATTATGTGTCTTTGAGGTAGAAATCACCCAAGAGGAGGGAAGATTGGCAAATCTGATCTGGTAGGGTGTCTTTCCCTAAAGTTTCAGTTTTAAGTCACTCCAACTCATACTTTTTCTCTCCTCCTATTCCCTTAGTTCTGGACTTTCCCTCAGAGCTCTCTGATGCCTCAGATTTTCCCCTGCTTTAACTCCTCTTGCTCAGGTGCTTTCACTCCTTTTCCAGAAGGCAGGCATCCTACCTCCAGTTGCTCCATCCCCCTTTTGCTTCCCTCCATCTAGCCAAACTAGTTTGAGTCAGCCACACCCCATTCTGAGCTCCTGGGGCTTTTCAGGAGGTGGCTGGCCACCCAACCCCACCCCTGGGCTTGGCTTGGAGACCTGAGTCAGCTCCTCCACCCAAGCCAAATCAAACCTGAGGCAGGAGCCGAAACTCACAGTCCCTCAAGGCCTATAGCCAGGTAAGACCCCCTGTTCATTTTTACGTTTCCTTTGATCACTTCTGGACCCTCTCTTTGCATTCCCCCCCAATGACTACATCTGTGTTTACCTCAGCAGTTCTTTTCCCATACCCACTCTTCAGCCTTGTGGTAGAGATTCTTTGCACTCTTCTTATCTTGCCTTTCCTCTTTCCATCTATCCTTTGTTACTTGTGTTCAGAGAACTGCAAATGGTTCTGTTTTGTGTAGGATGTAGGGGGATGGTTGGAGATGAGGGTGGAAAGGTGGTTTGATGCCAGAGCTCAGAGGACTTGAGAAGTGATTAAGCAAGGCATCGTTATGTAGGTTTCTGTGTGGGTTATGAGGTCAGACTGGTCCTGGGTTAAAATGGAGAGTAGAGGTAGCAGGGAGTCAGCATAGCAAAAGAGGCCCTGATTTACGCAGGTAAGGATTTTCTGGTGTTCAGTGTCCTCAGCTATAAAGAGAACTTGAATGGATAATTTTCCCCTTCCTTTCCCCCATCCCTGTGTTGTCATCCACCGTGTTTTCACATGAAATGATTGCTTAAAGTGGGGTATAGGGCTTAGGGTGCTATTTTGTGACCCCTCAATATTCAGGGGCAGCCTCTGAGGGAGGAACTTCAGGAAATTTTAAGCCCTCTGAAATAGAGTTTAAAGTCACTGACATATAGTCTGATTCCTAGCAGCTTTTGAGATGGTTTTTCTCCTGCTTGTCAGTGTGCTCCTGTCATTTTCCTTTCCCCTACCTGTCAAAACAGCAAAACAGATAATGCGATATTCACACCAGCTTGCCTTTAAAGGCTCCAAATCTTAGGCTGAGAAAAAAGGATGCCCGCCACACATTTCCTCTCTTGGTCTATGAGTCACTGGAGGAATTCCGCATAAGGCAACTTACCTGACAGTTGGGCTAGGTCACGAGGACAGATCAGAGAGAGGGGTGGAGTCTGAGCATGCCAGGCCAATGGCTCAGTTGTTGGGCTTACAAGTACCTTGACTGTATCGCCCACAGGTGATGGAGGACGAGGAGAAGGCAGTGGACACCTTGGTGAGCAACATGGAAGCTGCTCATTCTCCATCCCCCATCCGCTGCTGCTGGCTCCGCCTCCGCTACCTGGCAGCTACTAGCATTATCTGTGGCTGCTCTTGCCTGGGAGTCGTGGCCCTTGTGTTTGCCATCAAGGTGAGGAATGCAATTCCTATGGGAGCAGGGGGGTGGGTGTAGTTAGGCAATGGTTTGGTGTATCTGATCTATATCTACAGTGATCACACAGTTACTAAGTACTTGTCAGAGCTTGGCTCTGGGCCTGCTGTCAAAGGGCTCACCGTCTAATGAAAGAGAGAACTGCGAAAATGGATAATTATGACTGGAATGCAGGTCATCAGTACTGTGACAGAGGAAATACAAGGCATTTGGGGAGCTAGGGAGTGTACGTATGTGTGATTACATACATGTGTATAGTAGAGTAGGTGACAGGAAAATAACCTTGGGGAATGAGTGACTAAAGGTGAAAGGGCGTTCTAGGTAAAGGGAACAGTGTGTACCTGGACTATTAGTTCTGCATGACTGGACCACTGAGGAATAGTGACAGATGAAGCCAGAGGGCCCAGATTCCCAAGGGCTTCCAATGCTGTGCTTGGAGTTTAAACTTTATCTTCAGAGTACTGAGGAGTACTTTCTTTTTTTTTTTTTTTTTTTAATTTTTTTTAACGTTTATTTTTGAGACAGAGACAGAGGATGAACGGGGGAGGGTCAGAGAGAGAGGGAGATACAGAATCTGAAACAGGCTCCAGGCTCTGAGCGGTCAGCACAGAGCCCGATGCAGGGCTCGAACTCACGAACCGCGAGATCATGACCTGAGCCGAAGTCGGCCACTTAACTGACTGAGCCACCCAGGCGCCCCCTGAGGAGTACTTTCAAGAGTTTTTGGAGAGGAGAGTGACATGGTCAGGCTTATGTTTCAGTGAGATATGCTCTCAAGGCCTGCATGGAAGATGGATTGGAAGGGGCAGAACTCCAGGCAGTTGAGCAGTGATTAGAGTGATCTGTAGCAGTTGGGAAGAAGCTGTGGAGTTTTGGAGAGGGCTTCACCATTTCCAAACACCTAACCAAAACTGCACATGGACCTTTTGAAAGGCCACACGGGATAACTTAAACATCATGCTGGAATTTTCTCAATCCTAGTTGGATATTAATTATCAGAAACTGTATTCTTATCATCATGAGAATTTCTGGGCTTCATTAGGTCAAAATCATAAACAGAATCCTTAATAATGAGAGAGTTGAGACTCATGGGGCTAATACGAATGGAGTGTTGTTTGACTGGACGTGGAGGTGGGGGGGCGGGGCTAAATACTCCAAGATAGCTGTTTCTTGCCGAGGATTCCAAATTCTAAATGAACCTGGGATGAGTAGAAAAAGATAGGGAATAAAAGGATTGAAAAGTACTTTCCCGTATGTGATCTTGTGAGCTAACAATGGCTACTTGGAGAAGTACACAGAGCAGAGTGGGTACTTGCTTTGCAGATGAGGCTTGAGAGATAGACATTGGAAAGGGAGGTTAGGGGTTTGGGTGTCAGGTTTTGAGCCATGACAAGGATGGAGGATTGGTGTGGGACAATGGGTACTTTGGGTCAGAAGCAGGGGGAGAACCTAACCAAAAACCTGCCCCCACAGGCGGAAGAGCGGCATAAGGCAGGCCGGTCCGAGGAGGCAGTGCACTGGGGGGCCCGGGCCCGGAACTTCATCTTGGCCAGCTTTGCCGTCTGGCTTGCTGTCCTCATTCTGGGCCCTCTGCTTCTGTGGCTGCTCTCCTACGCCATCGCCCAGGCTGAGTGACCCTGGGTGGCCTCTGCTGAGAGTCAGCGAGACCTCCTGGATCCTGCAGTGCGGCATTGCTAGGGTCTGGGGCGAGCAGTGGTCCTTCCTGGCTGGAAGGATGGTGCCTCTCTCAAAGGGCTTTGGAAGAGCTCTTCTAGACCTTTCTAAAAGGAGGCAGCAGCTGAGACTGATGAGGGGAGGCCAGCCTGCTCTGTTCTTTCAGTGCCCACCACCTCCTAATTCCCCCAGCCCATCACATCCTAGGGGCCTCAACCCAGAGGTGGGGTTGAAAACCAGGCCTGATTTTATTAGAATTTGTTTTGTAATAAAAAGCTTTTTTAGTGGTGAAATGCTCCTGTCTAATTGTTGTTCCCCTACTTTCCCCGGGTTCTTGGCGAGAGCCAGACTGGACATGTGACCAATGGCAAAATCTGCATTTCCCTTTACCTAGGCACTCCGAGAGAAAGAAAGGATTTTTTTTTTTTTTTCTTTCTCTCCACCCCCTCCCTTCTCCTGGTGGTTTCCCTTCTTGGAAACACCCCAGCTTCTCCCGTGCACATCAACAGAGACCCTGTGGCCAGATAGGAAGAGTAATAGCAGCAACCACTATTTACTGAGTGCTTACTATGTTCCAGGCTGTGTTCTAAGCACTTTATATTTCTTAACTCCTTCAGTCCTCACAGTTAATCGATAGCAGGTACCATTATTTACATTTTATAGCTGAGGAAACAAGCACCCAATGTCACCCAGCTAGTGAGAGGCAGAGCTGGGATTGAACCCAGATAGCTTGCTTCCAGAGTCGAAAGAGGAATGGAAGGGTTGGATAGCAGTCACAGGTAAGTCTCTGCCCTGTGTGTGAAGCTTTGTAGGATTATAATGAATTTTCATATCTTGGGCCTCATGGTAATCTTAAACATATTTTATTTCAAATTTCGAAGTATACATGCAGGAAAATATCCCAAACAAATAGAGTTTATAAACTAACGCAAAGCAAACATCTGAAAATCACCATTCAATCAAGAAATTGAACATTGCCTTTACTCCAAAACCTCCTTTATATCCCTCCCAATACCACTCCCTTCCTTTTTTCCCACAGGTAACTACCATTCTGATAAGTTTGTGTTTTTTTTTTTTAAGTTTATTATTTTGAGAGAGAGAGGGCATGAATGGGGGGAATGGCAGAGAGAGGGAGAGAGAGGATCCCAAGCAGGCTTTGCACTGTCAGGGCAGAGCCCAATGTGGGGGTCAAACTCATGAAACTGAGATTATGACTTGAGCTGAAATCAAGAGACAGACGCTTAATCGATTGAGCCACCTAGGCACCCTCCATTCTGATTTCTAACAATGGAATTTAGTCTTGCCTGCATTTAAGCATTGTATAAATGGAATCATATGTATTCTTTTCATATCTGGCTTCTTTAACATTATTGCTGAGATTCATTAATATTTGATTCAGCTATAGTTTTCATTACTGTATGGTATTCCATTATATGAATATATTACATTTTATCCATTTCCTGTTGGTGGACTTTTGGGATGATTACAGTTTCGTGATATTATGAATCATGCTGCTGTGGACATCCTTGTACATGTCTCGGAGTACATGTGCTCTGGGAATTGAATTTTTGGATTATTTCACCATAATTTAGAGACCAGCAGAGCACGTAAATGAATTAGAGATATTTGTTGCACACCGAAGAGAGAAGATTAAAGAGAAGAAGAGGCACATGATGGTTGTCTTCAGTGTTCTGAAGTGCTCCAGGAAATAAAAGTGAAGAGACTCTATTGTTGGTCCCAGACGTTAGAGTTACAGCAATGGATAGAAGACATACCTAGGGCACTGGTGGTCAATCTTGTCTTCACAATAGAATTGCCTGGGGAGCCTTAAAAAGTACTTAATGCCTGGACTTTTGTCCCTAGGGATTCTGATTTAATTGGTGTAAGCTGCTGCCTGCACATCAGTATAACACATTTTAGATTTCATAAAGAAACTTTATTTTATTTAAAAAAAAATTTTTTTTTCAACGTTTATTTATTTTTGGAACAGAGAGAGACAGAGCATGAACGGGGGAGGGGCAGAGAGAGAGGGAGACACAGAATCAGAAACAGGCTCCAGTCTCCGAGCCATCAGCCCAGAGCCTGACGCGGGGCTCGAACTCACGGACCGCAAGATCGTGACCTGGCTGAAGTCGGACGCTTAACCGACTGCGCCACCCAGGCGCCCCAAGAAACTTTTTAAAGGTAATATTTCATTAATCATTTTCAGTTTCTAGAGGAAACTATCCCATTCCCCCAAACTGATTAAATGAGGTCTTGCTATTTAAAAAAAAAAAATTTTTTTTTTTTATGTTTATTTTTGAGAGAGACAGAGACAGAATGAGAGTGGGTTGGGGCAGAGAGAGAGGGAGGCACAGAATCCGAAGCAGGCTCCAGTCTCCAAACTGTCAGCACAGAACCCAACATGGGGCTCGAACTCATGAGCTGAGAGACCCAAACCAAAGTCAGACGCTCAACCGACTGAGCCACCAGGGGCCCCAAGGTCTTGCTACTTTTAAACTCAATTTTGAAAAATTTCAAGCCTACTGAACAAAAGAATAGTACAATGAACTCATGTGCTCTTCACCTAGGTTTATACTTTTTTAACATTTCACATTTGTTTTAGATCTTTCTAAATGCACAAACTGTTATTGTGGAACCATTTGAGAGTAAGTTGAAGGCCCTTCTTTCCTAAATACTTACAATTTTAAAAAATGCTTATTTATTTTGGAAAAGAGAAAGCAAGAGTGGGGGAGAGGCAGAGAGACAGAGAGAATCCCAGGCAGTTTCCTTGCTGTCAGTTTAGAGCCCAATTTCTTGAACTGTGGGATTATGACCTGAGCTGAAATCAAGAGTTGCTTAACTGGCTGAGCCACTCAGGAGCCAGTGTCAGTTTTAATGTAAGTATGGTCCCAGATTGCTTTTTAGTTCAATTTGTTAGACTCATTACTGTCATCCTTAAAACGTTTGGTTGAGGTATAATTTATATGAAGTAAAGTACACAGATCTTAAGTGTGCAGCTTGGTGAACACCTCATATGAAGACCTCTATATAATCACCACCTAGGTGAGTAGAACATTTCTAGCACATCAGAAGGCTCCCCCATGTTCCTCTCAGCCTCATTAATCTTTGTGTTCCTGGTTTTGACCAGTGGAAATTCCTTCAGCTTGGTTCTTGTGTCCTGCTATGTCTCCACATTTCTTCACTTACTTTCTGGCCCAAGCCTGGGAATTGGCCATTTCTCCCAAGGAGTCCTGGTTCCTTGAACTGAGGACTATTACTTTAAAATGACTAGAGTCGAAGTGCCTGGGTGGCTCAATCGGTTAAGTGTCTGACTTTGGCTCAGGTCGTGATCTCACGGTTTGTGAGTTGGAGCCCTATGTAAGGTTCTGTGCTGACAGCTCAGAGCCTGGAGCGTGCTTCAGGTTCTGCATCTCCCTCTCTCTGTGCCCTTCACCCACTTACACTCTCTCTCTCTCAAAAATAAACGTTTAAAAAAATTAAAACGACTTAGAGTAGCTGTACTCATTCTTCTAGGATGTTATTGCTTTTAGGCCCTTTTGGAGATTAGAGCTAGAACACATCTAATTTTATCTGTTTTAAATCTGTTTTTTAAGTCATACGATTTTAATCAGTCATAAGGTTCTTTCTCCCCTTTCACCATCCCAAATTCCCACAGGAAGAAACTTGGCTGCAACTACATCATGTTTATTCATTTGCCCAATTTCTGAATAATTATCCCATTATGCTACCAAACAGCCTACTAAAGTTAAGTTCAAGGTTTCTTTGCGATTTTGTTCAGATTGATGGTATAAAGTCAAAGTACTCAGTTAAAAAGTTACTTGGATTCGTTTTTCTCTTCTATGGTTGTGATCCCAAAGTGACATTTCTAAGATAGTTGCTAAAGATTAAATGTGCCTTTTTTTTTTTGCTGGAACATAACCTCCACAAGGGTGAGGACTCCCCCCC